CCATCCTGAAGGAGATCAGTCCTGGGTGTTCATTGGAAGGATTGATGCTGAAGCTGAAACTCCAGTACTTTGGCCATCTCACGCGGAGAGTTGACTCATTGGAAAAGACCCTGATGCTGGGAGGGATTGAGGGCAGGAGGAGGGGGGACAACAGAGGATGAGATGGCTGGATGGCATCATTGACTCGATGGACATGAGTTTGAGTAGTTTCCTGGAGTTGGTGATGGACAGGGAGGCCTGGCGTGCTGTGATTCATGGGGTCGCGAAGAGTCGGACACGACTGAGTGACTAAACTAACTAACTGAACTGACTGAGGAATAGTTGAAAGGCAGGGGTTCAAGATGCAAGAACAAGGATATTGGATGGAGTCAGGATCCTGAGAGGGAAGGATACAGTAATTACGTGAAAAGTTTGCCCTTAGTTTGGGGAATGAACCCTTCTTTTTATTATCAATGGAAGAGAAAAAAAGGTTGTGGAGGCATGCGGATGAAGTAAAGAGCAGTGTCTGAGGTTGCCACTTAATATGAAAAATAGAATTCAGAGTTATCTGTTATGAGGATTAAATCAGTAAAGTTCTTAGCAGGTAAAGGTAGTGCATAAAGTTCCTGTCACATAACAAATGCCTAATAAATATTTGTTGACGGTGGTATCTTTTGAGAGAGAGTAGATAGAATAAGCAGTTTGAGCTAAATAGATTACCCAGACTAGTCGGATACCTAGAACAGTCGTGTCTGAATCTTTTACGACCCTATGGACTGTAGCCGGCCAGGCTCCTCTGTACCTGGGATTCTCCAGGCAAGAATACTGGAGTGGGTTGCCATTTCCTTCTCCAGGAGATCTCTGGACCCAGGATTGAACCAGAGTCTCTTGTTTCCTGCATTGGCAGGCGGGTTTTTTACCTCTAGTGCCAGCTGAGGTACTTTTTGTGTTGTTCTATTTTAAAAAACTGAATTTAAAATTTTATTTTGAGATAATTGTAGATTCATATGTAATCATGAAAAACAGCACATGGAGATACTGTGTATCTTTTACCCAGTTGCCCCTTACAGTAACAGTTTGCAAAACTGTAGTACAGTGTCACAACCAGGATTGACAGATGAAGTCAATATAGCACTTCCATAATCTCCAAGGTCCTTCGTGTTACTCTTTTTTAGCCATACCTACTTCATTCCAGTCCTCACTAGTTTTTAACCCGTAGCAACTACTAATCTGTTTTCCATTTTTAGAATCTTGTCATTTCAAGAATTTTATGTAAATGCAGGTATAGGTTTACAAACTTTTGAGAATGGCTTTTTTAAATTTAGCATAATTTTCTGGAGATCTTTCTAAGTTGTTGTGTATATCAGTAGCTTGTACCTTTTTGGTGCTATGGTATGGATGTCCCAATTTGTTTAAATGTTCGTTCACTGGAGAACATCTACGTTGCTTCAAGTTTTCATTTATTGCAAATAAAATTGTGGAAACTTGTATACAGAATCTCATGAACAGAGGAGCCTGGTGGGCTACAGGCCATTGCGTTGCAAAGAGTTGGATGTGACTGAAGAGACCGAGTGCACACACATCATGTTTAGTTAGAGGCTTTAACCCCCTTCACTATGAATGTCCATTTGCTTCTGCACCATTTGTTTAAAAGGCTGTACTTTCTCCAGTATTTTTTTTTTTATCTCCAGTAGTATTTTTGCACCTTTGTGAAAATTCAGTGTATTTGTGTGGGTCAATTTCTGGATTTTCTAATCTGTTCCATTGTTTTATGTGTCCATACATTCTCTAGTACCGTGTAGTCCTGATTACTGAAGCTATACAGTGCATCTTGAAATTGGGTAGGCTGGTTCCTCCCACTTTATTCTTTTTATAAATTATTTTAGCTATTCTAATTCCTTTGCCATTTCATATAGATTTTAGAGTAATATTGTCTATATTACAGAAAATGTTGGCTATTAAGCATAATATTAGCTATGTATATTCTTTTCCCTATAGATTGTTATGTAATATTGAGTATAATTCCCTGTGCTCTACAGTAGGTCCTTGTTGGTTATTTATTTCATAGATAGTAGTATATAAATATATACATATATATATGTATATATATATATATATATATGTTAATCTCAACCTCCTAATTTATCCTTCCCCTTGCCCCCCTTCCCCCTTTGGTAACTGTAAGTTTGTTTTCTGTGTCTGGGGGTGTCTTTCTGTTTTGGAAATAAGTTCATTTGTTGTTATGTATAGTTTGCCACAATTTTTTTTTTTAAAGTTGCTGGTTCAGCTTATGACATTACACATATGCTCTTTCTTGGAGACTACAAATATTTCAGTATACAATAAAAATGCTTTATGTGAAATCATTAAGTCATTGAGAATTTTAAGGTGTATGCTCATGGATCAAAATGTAATAAAATTAATGCTTTTTGCTACTTTATTGATGGCATTTTAGAGGGAATTGAGGCTATGGTTTTTCCAGTAGTCATGTATGGATGTGAGAGTTGGGCTATAAAGAAAGCTGAGTGCCAAAGAATTGATGCTTTTGAACTGTGGTGTTGGAGAAGACTCTTGAGAGTCCCTTGGCCTGCAAGGAGATCCAACCAGACCATCCTAAAGGAGATCAGTCCTGGGTGCTCATTGGAAGGACTGATGTTGAAGGTGAAACTCCAATACTTTGGCCACCTGGTAGGGATTAACATATATATATATACTACTATGTATGAAATAGATAACCAACAAGGACCTTCTGTAGAGCTCAGGAAATTATACTCAATATTATATAACAGTCTATAGGTGATGCAAAGAGCTGACTCATTTGAAAAGACCCTGATGCTGGGAAAGATTGAGGGTGGGAGAAGGGAACGACAGAGGATGAGATGGTTGGATGGCAACCGACTCAATGGACATGGGTTTGGGTAGGCTCCGGGAGTTGGTGATGGACAGGGAGGCCTGGCATGCTGCGGTTCATGGGGTCGCAAAGAGTCGGACACAACTGGATGATTGAACTGGAACTGGAGGCCATTTTAGAGGGAAGCTGACTTGTTTTTCTGCAAGTATTTAAGAGAGACAAATACATGTCAACTAGATAGTTCAGTGCTATTTCCTTGATTTATATTAAGTTACAAACAGTTTTATTCATTGCTAGCTTTTGCAACATCATTGCACATGTCAGTGCAGTTGTTGGAGGATAAATCATGAGATTCAGGAAAGTTATTCAATACTCTGCATGTTTTACATGAAATGTGTTTACTGCCTAACATTCACATTGAACATCCTGTTTGATGATTATATGGCCGAAATACAAGGAAAACAGCAAGTCTAGCCACTTGTAGATTTCATCTCCCCTCTTTAAGCCAGAGTTATTCTTAAATGTAAATCTTCTATTTTAGAAAAAAATTATTAACTTCTTAAAAGCAACAGTTCTGCATAAAATTAAAAATTTAGAAATGTTTTCAGATTAAAATTGTTGAAAACTGAGACAGAAAATAGTACTGACTTTTTTTGTTTGCATGGGTATGATAACTTCATAATTTCAAAATAACAATTTTGTCCAGGATAATGAGGTTGCAGAGACCATAGCAGAAATAACTGAATATAGCTAGTAAGAACATGGTAGAAGTACTGAGGAAAAAACTTAGTTAATCTTGAAAATATACATATTTAAATTCTAATCCTACCATTGTACTTCAGAACATTCTAAAAAACATAAGAATACAAAAGGACACATTTCATGGCCAGAATGATGACCTCATCATATATCCTGTAGCATTTGGAAAATTTCACTCTATTCTCCTGAAATAATGAGAATTTGAAAAGCAAATAATGTATTATTATTATTACAAAAATAATCTTGACTTCCTACAAGGGTAATGGTCCCCTAAAAAGTGTGCAGAGTATACTTTGAGAATTGATTATTGACTGAAATTTAAGTATGAACTATTCTAATATTTCTAATATTAGAAAGTATAGTATTTCAATTTAAGTGAATTCATAATCACATTTAACTTTCAAATCTGGAATGTTTCTTTTTCAGTGCTGAAGATCCATTTACTTATTCATAAATTATTAAGTGCAAAACATATATCTTCCTTACAAGTAGTACTAATTTTGAAAACTTTGTTGGCATGTAACATATGTAGGCACAAATTATAAATGAATAGCTTGCTGAACAAGAGAATACAGTGAACAAATCTTGTTTAACCACCATCAAGATTAGAAAGGAAGAGATAGAATACTATCGACACCTCCAAAGCAT